TACAAAATTCGACTGCTTTACGGCATACGTCACTTCCACCACCACCCCCACTTCCTTAAAATCGGACTTGCGAGCCAAATGTTATAGTCATGGCCGAAGCAGCACAGAAAAACAAGAAAGCAAAGGTTTTATCGGAGCAAAGCAAAAAGAGAAAAAGAGAAAGTGATCGCGTTAAAGGCAGAACGAGGATCAACATTGCAGAGCTGCCAACTCTCACGCATTGGCCGTGAGACACCCGCATTTGATTGGTTTCACACGCTCACACGCCACACCCCCGGTTTCTCACGCTAAATTGTCAACCCGGTCGGTCAAATGCCTGAAAGATGAGTTTATCTATAGATCTACCTGTTGAGCCACTCGTGATCGAGAAGTTATACCGCAAATTAGTTCAAATCTCCCGTAATCTAGAGCGAGCGCGCACGCGAGACTGAGACTGTGCTCCAACGCGCGCGGACGGCAGAGAGAGAAAGCGAGCGAGAGACCTTGCGTGTGCAGGGAGCATCGAACCCCCCATCGAAAAAAGAATGCCTCTCTCTAACCTCTCTAATTCGCTAGAGTAGTAGCGAATTATCAATCTGGTATAGTAAACGATATTCTAGTTTTTGATGGTTAGCTATCGCTAGTATTCGCGTTCTGATTTGAACTTTGCAATCGATGAAATGCAAATAGCAAATGTTTGACCTAAAAAGTGTAGTCTACTCAACATGTACAAAGAAAGGAGGAAGATTATTAATAAAATCATATTTTAGGATACCTAACACGTCTGTGATATTTGTTTATTTGTCTTGCCTCAAGCTATAATGCAAATCGATTTGTAAAATTTGCAGATTCATTTATGGTAGCTTGATATTATAATATTGACGATATATGGTTATTATCTACCACTCAAACATTGCATTAAAATAACATATAGATTCAGTAAAACGGTAACCAATAGACTAGGCTACTATAATGACGCTGGCTTGTAAACGTGAGCATCGCGATCATTTGTCATTAGAAAAAAAATAAAACCCATGAAATTATATTCATATGACATGCTGAAATATATGCCACTGTACCTGGGATGAAGACATTTCACACGCGACGCAAGCAGAACACCTGCATGTGACCTCCTCCTACAGTGTTCAGGGCTATCATGGTTGTCAACAATTGCACGTGCATGTAGGATGACAGAGTTTACGACAGTAGTAGAGGACAATACTGTTTCCCAACTGTAGGGGGACCCCGAGAGCAAAAGTGACCTGTTGTTACTTTAAGAGTTCCGTGAACATTGTTTATTCTCTGAGAGCAAATTAGAAATTGTAAGTTAGAAACTGTTTGGTATGTTGACCCCATGCCTTTTAGGCCCTGTTTAACACCTGGTATTAAGAAGTGTAAACGGGGTCTAAAACATTTGGAGCTTGTCCACCTTCGACCACTTCCTAAGGTAGTCGAAAACGCATTTGACCGGATTGCTTTCATTGTGTATGGTCATGTGGTCGAATGTGTTCGAACATCTTCAAAATATCGCCTACTCTCCACCTACTGACTTAATGCCTAAACAACATTATGGGAAGACGGGAGCAAGACGGGATTTAAACTTTGTTGGCTGGAGGAGACCCAAGTTTAGTTTGAAGACAAAAAACGTACCAAGCACAATGTTCTCTCACCATTCCTGATTTCTAACACACACACCACACTTGCCGTGGTCTTGCGGCTATCAAAGCAGAAACAAAAGCTGCTGCACTCCGTATGTTTTTCCCTCATCTCCGGTCACGTTCATATGTAAATTTCTCAAGCTTATTTTGTCAATTAGATTGAAAGATCTGGAAAAAACAACACACATGATTTTCTCAACATTCATGATTCATGAATTGCTTGATCGGCTTGGTACAGCTCAACTTTTTTAGACACTGGATTTAACTAAAGGGGAATTGGCAGATCCCCTTATCGCCTATATCCAAAGAAAAAACAGCCTTCACAACGCCGTTTGGATTGTACCAATTTGTTATGCTTCCTTTCAGGTTTTTCAGAGCACCGGACACTTTTCAACGTCTCATGGACAGGATTCTCCGGCCGCATGCTGCATACAGTCAGTGGCGCCTCCAGACATTTTTCATAGGGGTGGCCAGATTGGGCCACTTAAAATCTTGGGGTGGCACACCAAAACTATAAACCATAATTTCAGAATTTTATTCTACTGTTGTAGTAAACCGGCCTGTAGAAAAGGAAAACTCTTAAGGGACTTAAGGAAACTCCTACTGATATACTTTGGTTTATTGTGTTATATTTAATGTTAGCTTACTAATGATATTAGTAGGGCCCTTAAAAAGAACGTCACGACACATAATGCCCCGTCTTCTTTTACTAAAGAATATTTTTGACTTATTTATGAAATGCATAACTGATGCTACTAAAATTTATTCTGGCCATTGGGGTGGCCAGTGGGGTGGCCAGGAGTCGGCCAGGGGTGGCCACGGCCACCCCTGGCCACCCCCTGGTGGCGCCATTGCATACAGTATGCCGCTTCCTTTCTGGATGACATTATCATCTATAGTAATGACTGGCAGCGTCATATAGAGCATCTGCATGCTGTCCTGCGAGCACTGAGAGTGGCCGGACTGACAGCCAACCCAAAGAAATGTGCGGTTGGGTGCGTGGAGGGCAGGTATCTGGGCGTCCCCAAATTAGTAAGATGGCAGCAGTTGCAACCTGCCCGAGACTCAAGACCAAAAAGGAGGTGAGGCAATTCCTGGGGCTGGCGGGATATTACAGAAGGTTTGTGCTTAATTTTTCGGACCTCACCACCCCACTGACTGACCTCACTAAAAAGGAAGCACCAGATCTGCAGTGGACGGAGCAGTGTCAGCAGGCTTTCACCCAGCCAGGTAAAGGCTGCTCTGTGTGGTGGACTGCTATTACACTCTCCTGATTTTTCTCTTCCCTTTTTGCTGCATACTGACGCGCCGGACAGGGGGCTTGGAGCGGTGAGAAAGTCAAGTGCAAATTGACATTCACCTGTGTCTTGTTGCAGTGATTGGAGTGGAGAGACCGGTTAAAAGCCCATGGGAAAGAGGAAACAGACAAAGAGAGACTGACCGAGGGCTCCTGTGGGCTGGATGACTTGGAGAATGATCTGATATTTTATTGTCTGTTGATGGACTGAGTTTATTGAAGCGCAGTGAGTGCGACTTTGTTTTGATTTGTGAAAGAGAAATAAAAGCACGAGCCTCAGTAACACCGACCCTGACTTCTTTCCTCAACTTGAATCGAGTTACACCTCACAATCCCAAATGAAATACAAAATACAATCAAAATACTTCCCCATCTACCTATCCAAAAACAAAGAATAAAGCGGGCAAACAAAATTACGTCTACCTCCTTACCTTTCCCAGATTTGTATACAATGCATTTACAAAGCACTATTTACAGGCCAGAGCAAACTTAAGAGGTCAAACCAAAACCAGTGTCGGTAGGCAATGGGGTCAAAATACCAAAGTTTCTTACTTACAATTTCTAAGTCACTCTCAGAGAACAAACAAAGAACACAGAACTCTTAACACTATAATGCTTGTCTAATCACACAGCCAAACTTTTTAAAGGTGTGCCTGGAATCGACTTCACCAATCAGGACTGACAACTTATTAGGCTGCAGGAGACAATGAGCACACAAACACTTCCAAATACAAAGACAGACAGAAGACAATATAAAGGGTTGTAACAGTCGACAACCATATAAACATTTTCAGTTTCCCAGAAGTAAATACAACTTGAGAGGGCGTTCATGTCCAATTTCCCACCATGAAACTCGTATTTACTATAATTCTGATAGCACATGAAGGCAGCATAAGACTTGTTCACAGAGAATATACACTATTTTGCTGCTCGGATAAATGTATCTTGTTTTAAGGATGTTTAGAATTTTTTTTCCTGGCAAACAAGATTGTTGGCTGTTTTTTACTTCAAAACAGTGCTAAGGCAAAACAGTAATCACAAACACAACAATTATACCTTATGTGTATTGGTTGTTAAAAAATGTATGTGTGCAATTATACGCCCCAACCGGGCGGCTGATGAACACAGCAGATCATCAACAGTCAATCAATTTCCACAAATACACAACCTGACCTGTTCTGTTGGAGGTTTGCCAGACGTGGCAGTGTAAGAACAATTGCCTTCCTTACATAAGTCTGTTAATTCTTCCTGCTTAGTGATGGAGAGATGCACACATACGTCAAGGGGATTTAAATACCTGGCTGACTTGTTGACGACATTACATCCTGTGAGATAAACACTCGTCTACCCATAACCCATTTCTCCACCTCTCATTCACAAACCCCTACACAACTTCAATCACAAGCTAATTGCCTTTCCCTCAAAATAAATAGGTCGACACAAGTGTCTGATATAGGGAAGGATGCTTGTTTTCCTGTGCACACAAACAAGGGGGCATGTTTGTTCAAGCCACAGTTTTGCCAGAGCACTTCTTGTAGACCGTCTGCGTGTAATTAGTTCGTCAAGAGCAGTCTCTGCCATTTCTGTTGCTCCAACCTGAATCCTCGCAGGGCTGAGCACTCTCCATCAATGCACACTGGGATTTGACTTTGTTTGTGAGAAAGCTGTTTCCAGGCTGTTCATAGACATAGTGATAGAGGTGTGCATGCACACACACACAGAGAGAGAGAGAGAGAGAGAGAGAGAGAGAGAGAGAGAGAGAGAGAGAGAGAGAGAGAGAGAGAGAGAGAGAGAGAGAGAGAGAGAGAGAGAGAGAGAGAGAGAGAGAGAGAGAAGAATGAATATGATAACCAAATAAATTATTACACTTATTTTAATTAACACAAATGCATGCTTTTTATAGCCACACAAACTCTCAAATGCACACTGCAATGTTACCTTTGGAGAAACAAGAGGTGGGGCGTGTAAAACCCATCCCTTGTCCTTTACCCCATTGGTGAACACCATGCAAGCACTACAAGTTCCTCCCCCTGTTAAAGCACACACACAAACACACACATGCACACTTAATGCTGCAATCCTCTTTGTGAAAGTGACGCGCTTCTGTCAGAAACAGAGCTTAGCTGAAGTGAAACAGGGAGAGAGGGAAACAGACTCATTCAATTTCTGCTTGACTGGCATCCGGTTAACTACTGTTTGGTCCTGTCAGATTTTCTTTGATCTGGTTTTTCTTGCAGGTTGATCATCGGGACTACAAAAATCACACCCCACCAGAACTTTTTGGGAAGTCTGCCAATCTCATACTGGACATTTTCATTTTGGGATTGAAAGCTATTGATCAGAATCTGTCCAACTTCTTTTGAATTGCTGCAGACCTACTTTGCACTCGCACCATTCTACAACTTCGGCCTGTGGTTTGGAAGATGCTAATAGCTTATGCAAATTGGATTCAAATCTAACTGAGGACACCCATATCCAGCTCTTATTATTATTTTATTTTGTATTCTTTTAAACTTTGTGGAAGAGTTTAAATCTAAAGTACAACCTGGTGTATGAGCAAACAGTAGAAACTGAGAGGTGGTCTCAGGTGAAGGGTGAGAGACAAAAAATAGGTGTTTTTGGAAGGGTCGGTGGGGCTCAAACAGAGCCACGGTGGAGGACGACCTGCTGGATTTTACTGAAATGGACGCGTATGACCGTTATGTGGATGGGGACAGGGACAGCTACCAGATTGACTACAGGCGTATTGTGGGAGACATGGAGCCAGCCAGGCCACGGATGTCGTTACGAGACTCGGAACATCACTTTCATGGCCTTTTTACCCATAATACACTACATGGGCATGGGCATGAGACGGCTGCCCAGCGCTACAATGCCACCCGGATACAGGCAGGGTATGAACCAGAGAGGTGAGAACATAGTGCAGGTCTATGAATGAATAAATGAATGAGCAGGTCTTGGTTTCTTTTTCTCAAAATTCTGGCTTAACTATCTTAAGACATTATTGTAGATTATTTGATCAAATACAATAGAGATGGACAAGCCGTATAAGACACAAATATACATTATGTCTATGCCCATTATATACAGTATACACATGAAGACCTCTGATGCAAAATCCTCTAAAACCCACCTCTGTCAAAAATGAGATAATAATATGGAGAACATAGTATACGCTCATCAAATACTTTTACTTCAAACTCACTAAATCCCAGCCTCAGCCCTTTCAGAAATGGGTTAATATTAAACAAAGACTTTAGACGGACTTTTGCATCTGAAGTCTTCACATATGTATGAATATATGTATTTATTTATTTTAGGCACTAATTAAAAAAATATTGACCATATATTTATGGTCAATATGTTTTTCATATAATAAATTATTACAATTATTAATAAATTATCATTATTAATAATGTATTTTGACCCATTAATAATTAATACTGTTTTGGGGATAACTCATGTTGGTTTTGGTCCCCTTTTGTGTATGTATGAATTGTTTATTTAGATTTTAAATTTGTGTTGTGGTGAGAATGAATAGAATAATAATTGCGTTGATGGGATAATAGAAAAATAACAGCTGTAAATGAGTGGGAGAGAAGAAGAAGGGGGCGGCTCCGTTTTTTCTATTTTGACCTTTATTTTGTCCAGTTAAAACAAGTGAAGATAGTAATTTATTATAGTAGTTTATAATTTATCTAGTGCAAAATTCATTATCACCTGTAAATACATAATCAATCAATATAATGATATATAAGTGAATTAATATGCATTTTAAATAAGCATCAGGAATAAATTCAACTGTCGGCATAACCACTTAGCAAGAGTTGTTTGGGTGTTAGACGCAGCCTATATGTTGAAAGAGCCTTTAATGGTCTTTAATGGTTCATGGGCTCTAAATGCAGTGTAACTCTAGAGCAAAATTCATTACACCTGTAAATACAGAATAAACCAATATAATGATATATTAGTGAACAAATAAGCATTTTCTTGAATCATGGTTTATGATTATTATAGTGTGTATACACTTAAGCTGTATTGCGGTGGTTCTGAAACTGTGAATAAAATAATAGACAAAAAAAGCTGACTAGCTGATGTTAGTTATGATAAAGTGTTTTTGCTGCATAACTATAACATGGCAGTTAAGAGGGTGAGTTCACCCAAAAATGAAAATTATGTAATTAATTCCTCCCCCTCATGTCGTTCCAAACTCTCAAGACCTTTGTTCATCTTCAGAACACAAATGAAGATATATTTGATGAAATCCGAGAGCTTTCTGACCCCCCATAGACTGCATCGTTATTACCACTTTCAAGGCCCAGAAAGGTAGTAAATACATCGTTAAAATAGTCCATGGGACTAAGTGGTTCAACCTTAATTTTATGAAGCGCAAAAAACACAAAAATAACGACTTTATTCAACAATTTCTTTTCCGTGTCAGTCTCTGATGCAACACAACACATGCTTGTGATGTTGATGCAGGAGCCGGCCAATACTGAGCCGGCGGTCTGACACAGAACCTGGAAGCGCTGCACTGTGTTTACAACGTGAACAGCATCAGAGACTGAGAGGGAAGAGACGAAAACGTTGAATAAAGTTGTAATTTTTGTTTGTTTTTGTTTTTTTTGTGCAAGAAAAAAGTATACTCAGGATACAAGACACCTTCTCAAAAACCCCATGAGCGTTCAGTTGGATCTGGCATCACAGTTTATTACCTCATCCCAGCCTTGACACTGACACCTGCGAGACAGGTGCTTCTCTGAGGGCCTCGTCTCCCCTACTCTCATTGTCACCTCTGCGGTTGACACCTCTGCCCTCAGAGGTTTACTAGTATTTATCTGCCTCAGAACTGCAGATCTTTAGCTTAGCTTGGCCACAAGAAGGAACATTTGACTTTTAGAATGTAAGACATGACCTAACAATCTACAGTGTGTCTGTATAAGCTCTTCAAAGCACCTTTCACATCTTCTATGTTGTGCATCATCTGAAATATACTCTACTAACTGTGTCATGCAGCTCAGAAGTGAAACGTTGCTGTACATCAAATGAAATCTAGATGCCCCCACATCTTTTCTCTTTCCCATTAGAGTCGGCTCTTTTGACAGATGAGAAGAGAACTACTTTGGATTACATTGATAAAGCACTCTTTAGGTCTAATCTGCAGTATAAATCCCGTAAGGAAAGAACAGCATGCCTGTATGTTGAGAGGGCAAGATTAAATGTCCATCAGGAATAAATTCAACTGTCGGCATAACCACTTAGAGTTATTTGGGTGTTAGACGCAGCCTATATGTTCAAAGAGCCTTTAATGGTTTTTAATGGCATTGGCGTTATTGTACAAAGTTTGAATTGCATTGATAAAGTTGGGGCCAAAACCAAAAATATTCAAAGATTTAAGAAAAAAAGGAAACTCAACGGAATCAAATGCTTTATAAAAATCAAGAAAAATCAAGAAAAAACAAGAAACCGTCATCAAGGATCAGATCCGAGTAATCTAAAATATCAAGAACAAGTCTAATATTATTTGGAATAAAGTCTGTCTTTCATGAAACCTGACTGAAAGTCATCAATTATATTATCTAAAACACATTTGATTCTTTTAGCAAAAATCATGGCTAGTATTTTGTAATCATTCTTTAAAAAAGCTTATAGGTCGCCAATTGAGTGGGGTCCTTTTGAGAGCACAGAGAGTTCCCTTATGTAGGCTTTCTAAATACACTTGGAGAAGAAATGGAGAAAGAATATTTGAGGATTTCTTATAAAACTCTGTGGTCAGACCATCATTTGAAATTTATTAGGTTTCAGCTTATCGTTCCCCTTAGAAATATCTTTAATTTGAATAGGAGATTCACACAAACTTTTGCCAGTATCATCAATTTTGGAAATACGGTCTGAGTCAAGATAAATAAAAAATAAGTCTAAATATTGTTGAGAGTGTCTAGACTAGAACGATAAAGATTTTTATAAAATTCTTCACAATAATTAGAAATGTCTTTATGATCTTTTAAAACCACTCCATTTATGTTAAGACTATTTATAGAATTGAGATGATTACGCTGTTTCTCTAACCTAAAAAAATAATTGGAATTACGTTCTCCCTCTTCCATCCATCTCCTTCTTGAACGAACTAAAGCACCCTTTGCTTTACATATATACAAGTTATCTAATGAGTTCTGAAGTTCAGCCAATTCTAATTTGTGGACAACTGATACATTTTCAAAGGGGATGCAGGAGAGACAGACAATTTTTTTAAACAATGTTAAGTTCCTCTAATTTGTATTGCTTGGCTTTTTGAGATCCAACTTTGAATAATATTAACCTAATATTGTATTTTAATGGCTCCAAATTAGAACCAAAATTATTTTCAGCTTGAGCTTTATTAAGAAAGAAGTGATTTTTAGAAATTACAGATTGACAAGTTTCCTCATCTTCTAATAAAGCAGAGTTTAGTTTCCAATATGAACAATATGTTCTTGAGTAAGATGGGTTATCAAAAGACAGAATAATAGACTTATAATCGGACAGTGGAGAAGGCAAAATTTAAACCTTATTGACGTAATCAGATAAAGAGTCAGATATTAACCAGAAGTCAATCCTAGACCTCAACGAACCAGAGCTGTTAGACCAGTAAATTGTGAAGCATGAGGATGTTTTTACCTCCAAATGTCAGTCAGACCAAAACGTGAGATCAATTCACAGAGGCCTGATGATCCATTCTAGGTGGTGATGAGCTGTTTGGTTAAAGTACCCCAAAAGTAATAATCAAATTAGAATATTTAGAATTAAAATAGAATAAATATGTTTCTATTGAATTAAACAATTTAGTTTCTTCACAAAAAGAGTAGGCTACATTGGTGAGTAGGCGAGGGATGCAGCAAATAAATCCCAAACCGCTTGGATATGTAGGCTAACGTTAGTCCGATTCGTGAACGCATTGCTCAAATCGGACCTTGTGAATCACTTTAATCGAAACTTTAAGATTCGATTCAAAATAACGACTTGTTTACGAATCGTCTGTCTGTCAGGAAGTCGGCTACTACGAACATTGTATGCATTGAACTTAGACTACAAAGTCGCTTTAAAATTCACCAAAAAGTGGTGTAGCAATGACAATTCGGTATTCAAATTTTTTAAAAATTAAATTCCTGACCAAAAATAAATAAAAAATAAATAACACTCCTGGTTTGGGGAGTGTTCAACGACCAACCTTTCCTCTTCCCTGAGTGTGTTCAGTTAGCATGTGACTTCAGTTGTTCACACGGTTGAAGGTCTCTGGACACACGGCTGCGCGTCTCATGACACTCTCATCCAGAGCAGCCTATATTCACCCTCCTCAGAACACTGCTGTATAGCCTAAGCCTACGGAACTAGGAACTGCTGTTCCCCGCGTAATGGACTTTAATATAGCCGTCATGTGATACTGTTCTGTACACGAGGGTGAATATTCAGCAGAAAGAAAGGAAGTGTTTTCATAATTGGAAAGAGAAAGTAGCTACTCGAACCTGTAAGTGGATTCATATTTGTTTTTCTATCTAGCGCGCTTATAAACCGAATGTTTCTCGATGAGAATGAACGCCAAGTTAGTTGCAAGTTAGTCATTTTGAATTATTGCTTCTCATTTTGAATACATTTCCATTTAGCATTTTTGACTTCTATCTATCTATCTATCTATCTATCCATCTATCTATGCTTGACACGTCAGTTGTTGTATTGGTTTATGCAGGATGACGTTGTTGTCAGTGGAGTGGATGGTTGGCAGTGCAATGAGCTGATGACAAAGTTGAAGCCAAATTTTATTTGCATGTGTTACAACCTCTCTTTTGTGTGTGTGCATGATTGTAGCATGGCTGATTACCTTATCAGCGGGGGAACTGGGTATGTGCCAGAGGATGGACTCACTGCCCAGCAGCTCTTTGCCATCGGTGATGGTCTCACATACAAGTAAGTATACAAGATGAGGATCATGTGCACAAAACCCCTTTATTTTTTCCTGATTCCCTGCTTTGTAATCAGACACATACGTACACACACGTACTGTCATACAGTAAGTCAGATCGACAAACAGGGACAGCGTAATGTCAAAGCAGTTCCTATCATGTGTAGTTTCACTTTCGCACACACATGCACTCTAGGTAGGCATCTCTCTGGACATCTGTCAGTGAGATGGCTCTCAGCTCCATGGCAACCCTCTGAGCATCTCCATAGCAACGGGGAGCTCAAGTGCTCGGTCCCAGCACATGCAGCCCATGTTTATGGGACGATGCAAAATGTGCATGTGTGGGTTCTTTTTGTCCCTGGTTTTCTCTCTTACTCACGATCCAGATGTAATATCAGGCTCATCGTGTGCTTTAATATCAATTAGAAATACAGCATGGGATTTTATGAACATTAGTCCTTTTTATATGCTGTACACCACTGCATTAAATGAGCCTGTTTGTGTGTGAATACAGGCATGTGCTTTCCCAGCCTTCTAAAACCCTTGCTAACAGAGCAGTGGTCTCCGTGTCTATTTTTATCATGCTGGCTGGAGTGTTTAATCTGGTCTAATGGAGGTTTTATGAGCGTTAGGCCACATGGGACAGGACACTGAACTATGCCTTCTTCTCACACATCCTCCTGAGACAGATAAATCCAGTCCCTATCAAAACATTATGGTGCTTTAAAGTAAGGGATGTTGTTTTAACACTTTCTAATAGTAGCCATGATACACAGTGCTTTTAACTGAAGTTAGATCCTAACAACATTAATAACATGTATATCAAGTACCACTGGGTACCACTTCAGTTTTGGGGTCAGTAATGAATAGTTTGATTTAGCAATGATGTATTAAATTGACTGTAAAGTATTCCTGTTTTTATTGTATTTTTGATCAAATAAGGCCTGGTGAGCATAAGAGACTTTCAAAAACATAAAAAAATATTACCCGCCCTAAACTTTTGAATAATGTTTGTGTAAAATGAACCTAAATCTCTTATCTTTTTAGTTTGCCCACACTTTTTCAGTACACTACTGCTGCTTTAGAGACTACGTGTGTGTGCGTGTGACATTGGTGATACGGTTAAGAACATTAACAGGACGTCTCTGTACGCCACACCTTAAGTAGATTATATAATTCCTCCTTGACAAGATCAGAGACGTACGCATGCAAGTGCATCATTTCTGGCTACTCAAAGTATTCATGCTACAGGCAAACACGAATATATTAATTTACTCATGCACTGCATCACAGTAATCAGTCGGCTTACACTATTGTTCAAAAGTTTGGGCTCGGTCAGATTGTTTTATGTTTTTGAAAAAGTCTCTTTTGGTGGTTAAGAAACAATGATGAAAACAGTTGTGCCGCTTAATATTATTGTGGAAACCATGATAAAAAAAAAATCATGATTCTTTGATGAATAGACAGTTCAAAAGTTGAAATAGAAATTGAAATATACATTATCTTTGTCTTTCAACTTTGATCAATTTAATGCATCCTTGCTGAATAAAAGGTAATTTCTTTAAAAAAAGAAAAAAAAATATTACTGACACTATTTTCAAAAGGTAGTTTGTTCGAAACCTGTACACGTTTCTTTCTTCTGTTGAACACAAAATAATATATTTTGAAGAATGTTGGTAATCAACATTCAAATGAAGTCAGATCAGAAGTCAGAATGGCTGCCGTCAGCTGTCTGGTTACCAACATTCTTTAAAATATATTATTTTGTGTTCAACAGAAGAAAGAAACTCATACAGGTTTGGAACAACCTGAGGGTGAGTAAATGATGACAAAATATTCATTTTTGGGTGAACTATCCCTCTAAGCCTAGTCCCAGACTAAAATGCATGTTTGACCTGCCTTTACTGAAAGCAACTTGCACTGACATTTGTCTCAAGATGCACACCAGTAATGTTTTTTTCTAGGGCACTTTTAGAAAAGAACTTAAATGTCCTAATTAAACTAAGGCCTACTCCTGGCTTAATGTAAGTCCTGTCTGTGAAACCAGCTCTGTGTTTTCCCTTTTTTTGACAGATTTGAGTGTTTGTATAAGCTTTCTGTAATTTTGATAATGTCCTGATTCATAAATTGCTGATCTAAAGGTCATTGTTGCCTAACTCAACGCCATCTGCCCTTCCTCATTCAGTGATTTCCTGATACTGCCTGGCTTCATTGACTTCACATCTGATGAAGTGGTGAGTACCAATGCTTAGCAGAGGTTAATGACATTGCACTTGTATTAAAGTAGACAATTTAGTACAAAGGATCATTTTTGATCACTGTCGATGGAAAAAGAGCTCTTCAACTATCAATGAAGCGGAAGATCTGCAAAGGACAGTATGTGTTAACATGGCTGTGTTAGCATCCATATAGTCCCTGGTGTGCTGGGCATGTTGTCACAGGCAGTGAAGCTCATGTGTGTGTGTGTGTGTGTGTGTGTGTGTGTGTGAGACAAGGACGAAACAAATATCAATCAATTCCCTTGGAGCCACAACTATAAACACATTTTTAATTAAAGATGCAGCAAATTCACTTTTCAGCAATAGATTATTGGCAAATAACTTAGTTAAACTGGAAATCACATCAATTTAATTGGGAATATTTTTGTTTGTTGAAAATAATGCTAATTTCTTATAAGATCGGTTTAGGGTTTTTAGGGATATTTGCAGGACTATAACGCTTATGTGTTTTTTGACATTTTTGTGATTGTGTAATTGGGAATTTAGGAGTCTAGTTAAAGTGTTTGGATTTTTCCCAGTAGACCAGGTGGATTCGCTTCCTGCTGATGTAAACGCAGATACACAACGCTGTTTGTGATTTCTTTAAGCACTTCTGAGAATTATGCTGAGCTACGGCTAATGATGGGACGCAGGTGTTAGAGAGAAAGAAAAATAAGACATAGCACTGGCAGTGTGTCTACAATTCAAAGAACTCAATTGGCGGGACACTCTGAGTCAGTGTTATTTTAGTGTTCATATATTATAGTGTAAAATAATATTTTGAATTAGCTTTTATTTTTTAAATGTTAGTTTAAGTTTGAATAATTTTGTGTGCATTTTTATTCATTTTTATATTTCTATTTAGCTTTATTTTTATTTTTTTATTTCAGTTAAAATTTTTGAATATTAGTACTTCAACTAATTTTCATTTAAGTTTTTCATATAATATTTAGATTTTGTTTTATTTCAGCTTTATTTCAATTAAAGAAATATTTTTAATAGTTTCAGTGTTAGTTAACAATAACAACACTTCCCAGTTCCCTGTACTGTAAATGTTTACTTTATAGAAATTGTTCAACCAAAAATGGCATTTTGTCCTTATTTGCTCAGCCTTATGCCGGTCCAAACCTGTATAATTTTATTTCTCTCATGAAACACAAAAGGTCATTTTTAAATACACAGAAGTAGCAGACTTCAGGTCAAGTCACCTTTATTAATATATACTGTAGCTTTATGCAATACAGATTGTTTCAAAGCAGCTCTGCAGTGATAAACAGGAAACCAATGATACAAACAGAATTCAATTCTGCTCTTTTTCTTCTGCTCTAAAAAGACAATAGCAAACAGTGATTATTCAGCTGAATTTAGTTCAGTGTTGATTCAGTTCACGAACTGTGTAAAGTTAATTGATTATTGAATGAGTTCATTTCATCAATAAATAAAACGGCTCTGGGGAAAACAGTGATGTCATCATCCGGCTCAGTTCAGTTCTCATCCAATAGTGTCAGTGCAGTCAAGTCAATATTGCCGAATATTAAGTGAGGAACCCAAATTCCCATCGGTGACAGAAATGGTGGAGAAAAAAGCAGGCACTGTCAGTGGGCCAGTTCTTGTTTCAGTTCTTATGTCAAGGTCCAAAAGTATCATAAATGAGTTTAATTACTCTCATGTCGGTTTACATAGACACTTTGCCCCCTTAGATTTTTCGTAACGGTCATGTGTTATGATGTCAGGATTTGACCTCTGCTCTGACCCGGAAGATAACCCTGAAGACGCCACTCATTTCCTCTCCCATGGACACAGTCACAGAGTCCTCCATGGCCATCGCTATGGCTGTAAGTAACATTCACAGAAACTATATATTTAATCCAGCAAAGTTGCGATTGCTTTTCCATTTAATTCACTGCTTTGTCCTGTAGCTCATGGGTGGAATTGGAATCATTCATCACAACTGCACACCTGAGTTCCAGGCCAATGAGGTCCGGAAAGTCAAGGTCAGTCATATGATTGTTGAGAGATGCACTTTTGGCAGAATTCAATACAAATGTAAAAGTTGTATTTTGTAAATCTGGTCAACTGTTTATGTAAAATTCACAGGCTTATTTGATTTTTTGGTTCAATATATACTTATAAATAGCAATAACTGAAATGTTTTGTATTTGTCATACTGGCAGAAATTTGAGCAGGGCTTCATTACGGACCCTGTAGTGATGAGTCCACGGCACACTGTCGGTGATGTGTTTGAAGCAAAGGTACGGCACGGTTTCTCCGGCATCCCGGTTACTGAAACCGGCAAGATGGGCAGCAAGCTGGTGGGTATCGTTACATCACGAGACATCGACTTCCTGTCAGAGAAAGATTACGACAGGCCACTGGAGGAGGTTTGTGATTAAAATTGTCTAATTTAGCTTTAATAATTTGACGTTGGATTCCAATTTAAGTGATGTTTCATAATCTAAGCATTAATTTAACAGGCACTTTTGAGTGAAACTGAATGTAGTGCAGAACTTGATCCACCAAGATTTGATTGAAGTTTTGGCCCACTACATTTTTTAGAAATTAATATTTTAAGAAATTAATCATTAATGAGAATTTAAATTCATTTTATTCAGCAATGATGCATTAAATTGTTTAAAAGTGTCAGTAAAGACTTGTTACCAAACATTTATATTTCAAATAAATTCTGTTCTTTTGAACTTTCTATTCAAAGAATCCTGAAATAAAATGTATCATTGTTTCCACAATAATATTAAGCAGTACAATTGACAGCATTGATAACAATAAGAAATATTTCTTGAGCAGCAAATCAGTATATTAGAAGGATTTCTTAAGGATCATGTGACACTGATGATGCTGAAAATTCAGCTTTGCCATTACCAGAATAAATTGCATTTTAAAATATAGTTATTTTATCTATATAGTTTTTTTTTTTGCAATAATATTTTAAAAACATCTTGACCCCAAACATTTGAATGGTAGTGTATATGAAAGATTGCAATGTAAAATATACACATTATACACTAGAATGTAAAATATCATTGATCACTGATGAATCGAATCACAATAAAACAGGTACATTTATTAAAGGTACAATATGTAAGATTTTTGTGATAAAATATTCAAAAACCACTTGCACAGTGTGCTATATCTCATGCAGTTGTGTACTTACATTATCCCAAAAGTTGCCAAGGATTTGTAAATCCAGAGTAATTCCAGTTTTAAATAATGGCTCGTCCCTTGTCATTGTCGCATATCAATGACGTAATATCTGCGCTATCCTCGGTTTCCGCTTAAAGAAACCATAGATTCCTCATTAGCGGCCGCTTCAATGGGCCGCTATGCGTAAGCTGCTAATGAGGGATCTATGTATACATATCTGTACAATTGTAGCGACATTGAGATGTGCCTTAATTAGCTCAAATTATGCATAGGGAATTTTAATAATTAATCATGAATATGATTAATATATTGCATATTACAGTTAAATTATCGAAATTGAAAATAGATCGATTGTATATATGAATGGTAAATCATAACGAATTATAATTCCTCATTCATATATCAATGGTCTTAATTACAGATCGATTATATGAGACAACTTTAAGGGAATCAATTTAGTTTATCAAACAATCGGTTTGTCCAGCAAACAGCCGTAAGGTTAACTAACCAACTTCTCAACAAGGTTGTCTCTTTTTATAAACTCCAAGAAATCTCAATGTTCCGGCCGTGAACATTAATTTTCAGGTGTTTATAAAATTTACGTTACTGATATAGTAACAACTTGTAAAGCTTTTGTAGCAGGACCGCATTTCATTGACTTGTAAAGTATGAGCATTCAAAAACAATCAAGAATATAATGGTTTTAATAAAATGAAACTACGGATACAGAATTCTACATTTAAACACGGGATACATGTATGTACAGTAAACAGTAAAACTAATGATACAGACGAACAACAAACAGGAGTGAGAGAGAGAGATTGCGAGAGCGCAAGATTGGGAGAGAGAGAGAGAGAGAGAGAGAGTGAGAAGATGAGAGATCTTCTGGTTTGGCAACATTCATCACAGACAGAACCTTTTTAGACACCAAGGATCAACAGATCTCAAATAAGCATAGTAAAACGGATACTTGCACAGGTACCGCTCTTGGGTGTGACCGATCTGAAAACGGCGTGTGCGTGTATCTCTGTCAGGTGGATGCCGAGCGTTCGGGTTCGTCCAGCGAGCGCGGTGTGTTTGAATGTCCTTGTAGGTGAAGCTTGCCAGTCTGGTTGTGTTCATTTTCTTCGCGAGAAGACATGAACAGAGGAGACTTCGAAAAAGATAAAATAAACTTGAAGAAAACAAAAGAGAAACGATGGATCATCACACTAAGGCGATGTCCAGGAGTCACATGATGAAGCCACAAAGAGCAGGAAGAGCCAGGGAGTTTTGGCAGAGGGTTTTCAGGAAGCTTTCAGAAGGGTTTTAGCAGGCGCTTAGGGAAGCTCGGCGCGTCTCTTTAAGGACACTTAGGTTCACGCCTCTGTTTGCGCGAATCACACATGACCGTCCGCGGATCTGAAGCGGACACAGTTCTCTTTGTCCTGTGGGGGATGCCCACTTCATGAGGAAATTGCATTTGAGCCGTTTGGCTCCTGAAATATGAAATGTGTAAAATAATGCACCTTACTTCATCATGCTATCGGAATTCGGCTCCGTTAGATTGAGCGAATTACAGACATATCAGACACGTCACATGAAGATTATCGGAATACAGAGTTACATAAGATATGCATTTTATAAGCATTTAATGTTCCTTCACATGATTATAAAGCCATAATACCGGCTACCGTGACCTAGGAAATATCAAACTCATGTTTATGCATTTCTTAAGTGGTTATACTTATAGACAATATAAGATTGCAGAGGCTATTCCCCTTTCTTCATCAGAATTCAAGTGGGAGCTGTGATTTCCCTTGGAATTCCTTTTGGGAGTCATAAAGTTTTATGACCTAGCAAGAGGGAGAGTTATAGAATCTTTCTTTACAAATAAACTTTAAGGTTCGAAGTTACAGAACAGTTAAAATTACATCTATAGAATAAGACAAGACTAATTAGATATGCATGCATATAGGAAGGTTGGATACAATTTCTGTGTTATACAGTATACATTTATATACACATTATAGGACATTTGTGTGTGTGTGTGTGCAATCAATGTGTGATTGTCCTTCAGCGTTCAGGCAGCTTTGTGGACTCTTTCTGTGGGGGGGATGCGTGTCCCGTGAGACGGCGAGGTTTGAATGGTTGACTATTTGTTGAAGACAACGCTGGCTTGTTCCAAATGTGTCATGTGCTAGCCATAGTGGCACCAATCTGGTCAACATGCCCGAAGGGGGTCGTATACAGAATGCCCCTTTGTTTACTCACGACTGGAAGAGACTTTAGTAAATTAGAATCTAGTTAATTTACTCCACATACCAGAGCTGGCTCGATTACCTATCTGATTATCACTACATTCCCCCTTTTGGCGGTTTGGCAGGACCCGTGTGGGCGGCCTCGTTAAACCGTCACATTGGTCAGATGGTAGGTAAGTCATGAAGGTAGGATGGCAGGTGGAACCTGATGGTAGGATAGCAGGTAAGTCATGAAGGTCGGATGACAGGTGGTTGTTAGTACTGAGGGCTCAGCCCGATGAGGTTCGGCGTGGTCTCTGACTTGGCACCCCCCATCTTTCCGGGGATTCTGTCTGAGACCTTCAGGCACGGCTTTCGTGAGCTTGGCTGAAGATGTTAGCATCTCGTTGAGTCTCCTTTGCAGAGCGGAGGCCAAACCTAGTGTCAGAGTGTGGCCGGTTACCGTAGAGATGCACCGCGCAGTGTCGGCTGCGGTCCAGGCTTGGACCACAGGTGCGGTAGTCACGACTGGCGGTCGAGACAGAGCTTGGAGGGCTGTGTCGATACGAGCAATGTCAATTCACTGGGACCCCCTTTTGCAAACCACAATTCCCGTTCTGGAGTTAGGGTGACAGTGTGGTTCCTGACGAAGGATGGGGTTTCCAGTTCTAATCTGTACTCTTTGCTTGGAAGATGGAACAATGTCAGGTCATCCAGGTGGAGGATGGCACCTTTCGGTACTTGAAACCACACGCTCTGTTTGAGCAAGGTGACACGGGTGGCAGTGTCATGTTGGTTGTAAGTGAGCGTAGCTGTTCGCACGGGAGTGTTGACGAGCCATCTGTCACCTACAGTCTCTGCTTGTATCTCGGTGACTTGCGTGCGAGGCTTGGCTTCTGCAAGGCAGCGTGTGTTGCTGATCATGGGTTGCAAACCGCAGATTCCGTCAGTGTTGTCTTTGAGGAAGGGTTTACTAGGGCAGAGATAGTGAATGTCTTTGGTCGTGGGCTGCACATGTGGGGCCAGGTGCAGCGGTGTGTCGCTGGTCATGTGGTAGGCCACCCCGTCCGGGGCTGTGACCAGCGGAGTTTGAGCAAAGTCTTTCTGGAAGACAGTAAACAGCTGTTTCATGGATTTTACTGTCTGGCTCAGCAGAACGCTGTGAATGTTGAGAATTACCACAGTTCCCATCAATGTCTTTCCGATGGTCTGCAGGGATGCACTCTGTGTCGTGAGTTGCAGTCTTAGCTGTGGGACCTCAGTCCGAATTTCAGTCACATGGTTCACTGCGTTGGCACTGGGCATACCAATGCTTAACAGAGTTCTGGCAGCAGCGGCGGCTCCGAGCGAAGCTCCCAGGAACCGTTTGAAACGGTGGTTGTGTCCACCTAAGTCCGCTTGTGTGACAGTCGTTTTATCAAGTTGGTTGAGCATGTGCTCGGCCTTGGCCTTGGCGTGAGCGAGGGAGTCCTCTGTCCATCGGGCACGGGTCCAGCTGTACAGCTGGGCTGCTGTGCTGGGGTGAGGTGCTCTGTAGACGTTGCGGGGGTTGCGTCGAACACCCACTTTCTGGGTGTGGTTCCTGCAGTTGGTGATCAGGAGTTGTTGTCCTCTCCGGACGATGCCTGCTGTCGGACCTGGTGAGATGTCCGATTGCGGCTGTCCTCTGGTTGGCTGGAGGCACAGGCATCACGAACCACAGCATCATCCTGGTAAAAGTGAAAGGGAGAGAGAAAGAGAAAGGGAGGAAAAATTTCAGCGAGTGTCGTCCTCGGTTGGCTCGGACAGTCTTTTCGCTTTGAGGATGCCGGTATGCCACTTGCTTCGGTGTCTTGCAAGTGTCTCTGGTGCTGAGCAGCACGTGGTGCGTCCAGGGCGTACATTGGCATGACCCCCCTTTTGCACTGTGGCATCACAAGCTTTGGCGCAGTGATGTGCAGAACGCTGAATGTTGTCCTGTGCACGCAGCATGTGCTTGTTGACGTAGGGTGTCAGGGGCACTG